GTTTTAAGCACGGGCGACCGAGATGGTACTGATAGTTCTAACAGGAAGTTAGTAGATTTAGAGTTAGTAAGGAAAAAGGCTCCGCAAAACTATGGCGGAGAGGGAAGGAGGCAGGAGTGAAAGTTTTGAATCTCACTCGATCCTCGGTGGATTCGAGTGAGATAAGATACTAAACTACGGTTTTTAGACAGGGCGACCGTGGCTGTAGTGTTAGATTTGGTGGAAGATTAGTGAACAGGAAGTAGTGAGAAAAGGTGATGCGCGGAGGCACTCGAAAACGGATATGGCCAGAAGCGAAGATCGAATATCTCGCTCGATGCTTGGTGAAATCGAGCGAGACAAAACTCGTTTTGGAGGTTTTTGGACATGGTGAGTTAGGTAGCGTAGTTGGCTTGGTCAGTAGAGGACTGTGTAATGAGGTTTGAAGAAAGATAGACTGCGAGGAGTAAGGGGGGAAAGAAGGTGGGTGGATTTGGACCGGGAAGTGCATTAAATATATGCAGAATAAGGGAAAGTGCAGCAAGCGAGAGCGGGGAGATTCAGTCCGCGTTTGCCTTTCGTACCGAGAAAGAGGCGCGGGGCCGACCACGCTGTGCACAGGGAGAGGAAGCGAGAAAAAAAAAGGAGGGAAAAAGGGATACGTACCTGGCCTCCCTCCTAGCGGAAGATTCACTCGAAGCTTTCTTACCTTGGGGCCGACCGTGCGGCCGAAAGGGCCACTACAGCTCGGGACGGATCATGTATTGTTGATCCGCTGTGCTGGGATAGAGACAGGGCCGAGGACGACGGGCTGTCATCTCACCAGCTGAAGCCGCCAAGAGAAGAGCTGGCCGGCTGCGAACTTGAAGATTGACCGGCTTGCCCCGCAACCTGTGGGAGCCCACCCGTGTCTGACGCTGAGCTCAACCTGCGGGTTGGAGTGGCTGGAGTTCAGCTACGAGACAGAAGGGGGTCTGCTTATGGGTCAGTCGCGCTGCCCTTTCTGATATCTGGAGGGCGTAACGGTTGGGCCGACTATGGCAGCTCTGGTGCGGACTGACTGCGCACACGGACTGGCGTTATTGTGTGTGCCGTGGCAGGACTGATACCGTTGACTGTGTGCCATGGCTATTGTTGCGTAGTGTGGTGGACTGTTGTTGTGCCTGTGGATGGTGCTGCGTTCTTGCTGCTAGTTGTTGCCAGCCGCACGAGCTGCGAATGGGATTGATTGGTTGGGCACAACCAGCTGTTGTTGTGGTTGGCTGTGCGTGAGCTGTCACAGGTTGCTGGCGGTTGTGCATTGAACGCAGCTGCGAACTGCGCACAAAACCGTTACTACCACTTGCTAATGATCGCCGCATGTTGCGACACGCTATCGCCGGCTATTACCAACCGCTACCGGCCTCTAAGTGGTGCGATCAGACTTAGAGAGGTGGTCAGGCTGGATAGGTAGGGGGTTGGTGCTGCGATTTGGGAAGTCGTCAGGGGGTTGAGTTCAGCAGTTGAGTCCAGTTTGACCCAGCTGTTACACTGGCTGCCATTGCGGGGCCCTCAGGCGTTCCAAGATTACAAGGCCCTCTCTTGCGAGACTGAAAGCACCATTCTTGGATATGAGAGTCTCTACCTTCTATTTCTATTCGTTCTAACTCTCAGTCTAGTCCTGGTTCTGAGGGGAAGGCGGCAGGCGGGATTGCAACCCGTAGGACCGCGTCAAGACTCTGTGGGGAGTTCACCCACCGATTGCAGGAGCTATGCCAGAACCTAGGCGAGGTTCTGGAGGCAGGGAACCTTCAGGTAAATCATCGTTATCTGTGTAATCCACTACTACCCATGTTTGCCTATCTYCCTGCAGTATGATTGATRTATGCATAAGTTTGTCCSTATGGTTTTTGCTTTCTCTTCAAGATATAATCAGACTAAAGGGAAAGAATGTGTGAGAGTGAAGTTCAAGTTCCTTCTTTATTCTGACTGAAAGCAAACAAAGGGATAAACTGGGGGGAAGGTGGGAGGAAGGTAGTTTTGCATGCGTTTGGAAGGGTCAACCAAAGCCTGAGCATTGTTTCCATGGTGAATGGCTCAGGGCTGTGTTTATTTGACTGTTTTCTGAAGGACCAGGCATTGTTTTCATGGTGAATGACCTGGTTGCTGTGTTTATTTAGTTGTTTTCTGGGGGACAAGGCATTGTCTCCACGGTAAATGGCCTGGTTGCTCTAGTTAACTCTGGGGGTTGTCTGATTGAAGGGGTTTAAATTCTTGTTTATTATGAGGGAGAATTTTTGGTCTAAGGCTAAGCATTATTTCCATGGTGAATGGTTTAGCCTGAAAACCACGCACATAAATTAAACTAAGTATAAAGGAAAGTACTTTATATATATTTGCATGTGAACTGGCAGTTGGGCATTGTTTCTACTGAGAATGGTCCAGCGTTAAGCCATATCATTAAGAAGAGAGAAGGGAAAATGCAGAATATAAATGGAAATAGTTTGGGGCAAGTTGAACATCGTTTCTACTGTGAATGGTTCAGTCCCCTGCTCATATTTGTCTTTTCTTTTTATCAAAGTCAGAGAAATATTAAAATTTTTGGATATTAAACAACTCAGGGCGACTAGGCATTGTTTCCATGGCGAATGGCTTAGTCATCCGCCCAAAAGAAGAAAAAAGTAGTTGTGCCACCTGTTCGTGTATATCATGAAGACAAGTTGGGCATTGTTTCCACGGCGAATGGTCCAGCTCTATGTCTTATGTAAGATGGGTATAAGGATTGAAGAACTTGAAGATTCATGAACTATCTATATGGGATAAACTTGGGGTGGTGAGAGTACTTACATTTCTGGTTTGGTTTGCATGTGACTGGATGGGATGACTAGTGTTGTTTGAGTTTCATTGCTATAGGTAGTTGTTGTAGTTGCTCGCCACGTGCAAGAGTCATAGGAGTTAGTGTTAAGTCCTGCATTTTCTGTAAATAACGTTTTTTTTACTTAGGGCAATTCCTACATTTTCTGAGATCTTTTCTTATACTTGGCTTTGTATAAATCTTGGCAAGCTACTTTTCCTACGGGAAGCGCTGCCGAAATTTCTACAAATCCAAGAAGTGAGTCAACTTTTGACTTGTCAGAGTTCAGCTTGTCTTTTCCATATATGGTTTAGTATAAATATGAAAAGTCTCATTTTCTAGAGGGAGTGCTGCCCAAATTTTTACCAATTCAGGGAGTTAAAAAAAATTGGACTTTGATAAGTCAAAGTTATTCTCAAATTCTGGACCTCGCTTTGTATAAATTTTGGGAGAGCACTTTTCTAGGGGGAGTGCTGTCGAATTTTCTGCAAAATTAAGGAGTTAGTTAAATTCAGTCTAAAAGTTGAGCTCGAGCTGTTGTTCGAGTTCGTTTCTGACTTAGGACAAATCTGGGAAGTCTCCATCTTGGCTTATATAAATTATGAAAAGACATTTTTCCTAAGGGAAGCGCTGCCAAAATTTTCTTAGTTTAGAGGAGATAGATTATATTTAAATAGGAGATTCATGCGATCCACCCAGAATAGGGGAGATTTTTGCAGTTGGTCTACCTTTGGCTTAAGCACTGACTTAAAAATAGACTTAGGTTTAGCTTATAAGGAGGTTTTGAGTGAGGATGTATTATGGAGTTATATTCTCCATACACTTATGATCTTAGCTTGGGAATTGGTCTGCCGTGTGTTACAGGTTCTTTTGATCATTTGATCCAAGTTCAGGGCTAGATTCAGCTTGATCCCTTGAGGATCACTTACTGTTATCACTGATAACAGGTCGGTTGCCGATTCGTCGGTCTACGACTCAATTTCAACTCTCCCTTTACACTCAACCTAAAAGACTTTAGCCCTGGTGATTTCGTTGTTTTATTAAGGTTTCACCCAGACTTTTATTGAATGACCATTTAACAAAGGTGTTGAGTATTTAATTAAGGTTAGTTGGACAGGAGGTTTGGGGCTTGCATGGCTAAAGCGAGGGGTATGGGTGTCCAAGGTGGTTGGGGTTGACTTCGTGTAGTGTGTGGGCTGTTGATTTGGTTCGTTGATGTGATGGCAGGTATGTGCTGTGAAGCAGATTCTGGATTTGGTTGCCTACGATCACACATATACGTATTATTGTGAGAAACCCCAGTGAGACCGTGAAAAGTGATCGTCACATACTAAACCCTTATATATGTATACATGGGTATACTTGGGATGAATGTTTGCATAGATTGAAGAGCCCCACATTANATATGTATACATGGGTATACTTGGGATGAATGTTTGCATAGATTGAAGAGCCCCACATTAGAGCCCTACTCAAAAGCTGAGACTGAGGGGCTTAGGGGAGGTCTCTCCTTTTATTCTTGTCTCTTGCTTTTTGATGATTTTCTTAGTCGGACATTTGGTCCTGGGCCGGGATTCGAGGTCCTTGTCCAGGACATCCCAAGCCCTAGGCTCTGCAGGGGAGGGGTTTTCCCTCGCGCGGAACCTATTTGATTTGCCTACCGTGACACTCAGGTCGAGAGTCTGAGGTGCCTCGGCGGCTGCACGACTATTCCTTCAGCCGTGCAATGTCGTGAAGGGTTAGGCCCTCACAACACTTCAAGTCTGACACTTGAGTGTCATAAGCGGTACTCGGATCCACGAGGGACCGCTTGATTATGGGCACTACATAGTACGTCATCGTTGCGACTGCTTGTGTGCGCCTGCATTGCAAGTCGATATGAGTAAGCCCTGCGTCCGCGCGGTTTTATACTAAGTTCAGCACGCGACGCCTATCCGATTTCCGCATTGGAAAGTTATGGGTTGGCTACCGAGGGGCTAGGAGCGTTGTCGCGTTGTTGGTATTGTGTCGTTTCGTATATATATTGTTTTCTGTGTATGTGTGTTTGTAAAGTGGAGTGCGCGTGGTGTGTGGGTTGCGTCCTAGTCGACCGGCGATGAATCGCGCCTGGGACCTCAGCCCCCCCAAGATGTCGGTTCGCGTGCGGGTCCGATAGAGGCGTATTACCGCGCGTACCCCCTATGCTACAACAAACGAGAATCGCCCTCGGCTGGTCCACCTCTGCGATTGCAGCTGATTAGCTTTCGTACTGTGGACTGGTTGCTCGGCGGGGATACGCCCACCGAAGGGAGGTGACAGCTCCCGTAAGGTGTAGGTAAGTCGTGCCTCGCGTAGGCCCTATCCTGTCGTAGGGGCTCACGAGAGGTATGGCTGGCGCACCCGGCCGGAGCGGCTTGCGGAAGCTCCATGTATATTGCGACGAAGGGTTTTAAAAACCAACTCCTGCGTCACGCGGCCGGGAGGGTCCCGCGCTGCCCCCGTCTGTTGCCAGACCGATGCGCCCGACAGGTGGCGCCGTTGCCGGGGGTAACGGAAAGCCTACTGTTGTCCCTGGTGGAACGACATCCGGGTATGAGAAGTGAATAAGAAAAGGCATAAAGGAGTGATGAGAAGGTAATGAAGGAATATATGAATGACTAAGTGTAGGTGAGGAAATTTACCTACCCAAGTAGAGGAAGTATGAGGGACGATCGTGTTAACATTGGGGGAAGTAAGTACTAAGGGTTAGGTAGGACTGATGGAATAGACCAGTCAAGGTATAATGTTGAATAACGGGATGTGTTTGTTTTCTTTTGTCAGGGAACTTAAAAAGAACAGGCTGTCAAGATGCCTGAGACTGGCGGCGCTTCAATTGTTCCCAAGAAGGGCCTGACACTCGATGACCTCATCGAGGCCATCGACCGACATGAAAGGAACCCGAGCAACATCCCAAAGGTCGATACTTTCCATTTCTGTGGGGAGAGAGTCTGAGAATGGCTAGAGCGGGTGGAACAAGCTTTGGTCGGGCGGCCGGATGTTGTTAAGTTTCAACGCATCCTTCAGTATGTCTTCCACAGCTACCATCAGGAGGTGAAGAAAGTCATAGATGCGGCTCAAGGTAGCTGGGAGAGGTTCAAGGAGGGAATGCAGAGGAAATACCGCCTGGGAGACGGGTTGTTGACTACCACGGACCTTGAAGCGATGAACAAAGAGGATTTTACGACTATAGGGGTCTTTGTTCAAGAATTTAAGACGAGGGCGCGGAAGGTCCATGGGATTTCGGAGGAAGCAGAGTGCGCCATCTTCCTGAGGCTACTCACAGCATCGGAGGCCGTCGAGTTGACGAGACATGGAGGAGGTAGCACTAAGCTCACCTGGGCCACCATTGACAGAGGGGTGGAAGTTGGGTGCTTGGACCAAGTGGAACAACGTCAGGTACGCCTGCAAAGACAGAAAAGAAAGGAAAGAGATGCGACCGCTTCTGGGACCCCGGGAGTAACAAGGATTGTTACAGACGTATTGGCACAGCTAGGGTATGCGACTGATCCAGTGGTGCAAAGGAGGGTGGTGACGGCTGTCAAACTAAAAGGAAAAGGGCCAGTGATAGAGGAGGCTGGTAAGGAGGAGCTCTGGGAAGAGGAAGAGCCGGTGCCGCAGCACCTGACGAAGGTCCGGCGCAAAGTGCGTAATTTGGCGCAGGGCGGACAAGGATCAGGAAAAGTGCAGGCGCCTCAAACCCAGGCAGCAGCCCCTTTAAATATGGCGGCTCCCTCGTCTAGTACGGGCCCCTCGCAAGGTGGGGCGCCCTCCTATGGACAGTGGCCCTGGCCGGTGATCAACGCAATTGTGCCATGAGGAAGTACGCCACCAGTAGCCGGACCACAAACGAGTATGCCACCACCCATCTACCCCGCGGCCCAGGCCCAACCTGTGGCCCCGCCACCGTCACCTGATCCCAGTTCACAGGGCAGTGTTGTAGGGGGTGGGAGCCAGGGGCAGGGCAATCAAGGCAGTGGAGGGAGGGGTGGAGGAAAGGGGGGAGGCAGGAATGGCGGCGGGAGAGGAAGGCAATGGAATGGCCAAGGCCAGGGGTACCAAGGCCAAGGGAGTCAAGGTCAGGGGTACCAAGGCCAAGGGAGTCAGGGCCAGGGGTACCAAGGCCAGGGCTATCAAGGCAAGGGGTATCAAGGCCAGGGGGATCAGGGAAGTCAGGGGTATGGAAGACCCCGCTTTGACTGGAGGACGGCCATCTGTCAACATTGTGACCAGAAGGGCCACACTATAAGGTTCTGTAATATAAGACTGGAAGACGAGAGAAGCGGACTGATTTCCTCTACTATGGATGGGAATATCTATGATCAGTTTGGGGAGGCCATTGACAAAAGGCTTGGAAGAGTGAGGGTTGAAGCCCAACGAAGAGCGGCAGCGGGGCCACCGCCCCGTGCCATGTTCAGGCTATGGCAGGAAAAGGAGGAACCACCGTTTAGGGTGGAAGAAGTGGAAAGCGATGAGGAAGTGACTCAAGGGCTACGAGGAGGAAGTGAGACGGAAGAGGCCATAATCATCGAGTCAGATGACGAGGATGAGGAGGAAAGAACGGAGTCTCCGTCCGTCTTATTTGAGAAGATGGAGGACTTGCTGGATAAGATGGGGAGGTACCAACAGAAGTTGGTAGGCCTCTGTAAAGAAGTGAAAGGATGGAGGTCTAACATCCCCACAATATTCCTCTATGACTCCGGCCCGGAGTCAGCACCTGGGCGACCCGGAGTAAATGTGGTGGGGTCGTGCCCACAATCAGGAATGAGGGGGAGACCCCTCACTCCGCAGGCCCGGCTGGCACAGGCAACGCGAACGAGGAATCAAGCCAAGGCCAGTACCAGTCAAGAGCCTCCAAGGAGGGAGCACGAACCAGGGAGAAGGAAAGAAGCTGTGGAAGTAGAGGACGACGATGATGAAGAGGAAGAGGACGAGAGGCTGCGCAGAGAAGAGGATCAGAGAGCGGAGCAGCGGGCAAGGAAAAAGGGGGTCAGGGGAGAGGTCGAACTGGTGATACATAACGGACCGCCCAAAAAGAAGAAATACGCAGTCCGGTTGGAAGAAGGATTTGACGTAGAGAATGTGATTGACCGGCTGCTGGAAGGGCATAATGACCTCATGACCCTGAAGGAAATCCTAGCGTCAGCCCCGCGACTCCGCGATGAACTGAAGGGGAGGTTATCACGGCGCCTGSTGYCCAATGTSCATCTGGGTACGATCCTGCYCAAGGAGGCAGAGYGGGCAGAGTCAGGTACGAAGATRGACTGGAAGTGCGTAGCCTGCGGTACGGTGGATTTGATGKTGAAGGATTCCAAGTGCGCAGCAATGGTGGACACCGGGGCAGAGATGAACATTATTCGRGAGGCGGACGCGATCAGATTCGGGCTGGATATAGACCGTTCTGACTGCGGTATTCTGCATGGAGCCAGCTGTAAGGCCATGTTTTGCGGGACAGCCTCGAATGTGCTCGTCGAGGTTGGAAAGGTGAAGGTCAGGGCATGCTTCTTCATAATGCCAKWAGTGGACCATGRAATCCTCCTGGGGAGGTCATTCCTAAGCAGGACAGAGACCGTGATGTTCAACAAACATGATGGGACGTTGATCCTCCTCTTATGTGATCCTGCCTGCGGGAATTATGAAATAATTACTTGCAGGAACACCGGGYCAAGGAGTATAAGGAACCGGCCCAATCCAGGATCATTCACAATCGAGGAGTCGGAAGGGGACCGCAGAAGGCTCTAGGCAGAGCCCGAAGCAGGAGAGAGGGTGGAAGCATTTTCCCTCAGCCTGTTAGATGTTGGGAAGGCCATGGACCTGATGGCCACGCATGAGATGGCAGATCCGGATGCCATCCAGGCCCGGAGGGAACAAGTTCTGGAATGCCCTGAGGCAGGAAGGTTGGAATTGGTATATCGGCTCCCAGGCAGCGGAGTGAACCCCGCATCAGTGCAAACACAATCTGTGAGTCGACTTTTTTTAGGGGACGGCTCAAGCAGGGTTCCCAAAGGTGGTACAAGACGGTAAACAAGAAGTGTCGCCCGGTACCCGTCCTCGTTACAGAGGACGAGAAAGCATATTACGAGAGGGAGCGAGGGTTGATTCGACGAATGAGGGAAAGTGCTTTAGCAGGGTCATGTCGTATCAACGAAGGGAACGAGAAGGAGTTGATCATAGGGGAGTCTGATTTCCTGCTGCCTAAGGAGCGAACGTTGATGGTGGAATTAATGAAGAGGAAGCATCGCGCCTACGCGTTTAGTGACGAGGAGCGTGACAGGCTAGATGTAGATAAGATACCTATGATCCGCATCCACACCGTGCCACACGAGCCTTGGAATATGAGAGGGGCACGATATCCCAATCCTGATGAGGAAAGAAAGGTGGTGGATTATCTCGACGGCAAGATACGTACTCACGTCACCGACTATTCAAGTGGACCGTATGCGTCCCCGTGGTTCTGCTTCATTAAGCCTAACGGAACGCTGCGGTGGGTGCAGGATTTGCAAAGACTGAATGCAGTGACCGTGCGAGAGGTTGGAGGACTGCCGAATGCAGACGCGCTGTCAGAATCCTGTGCTGGAAGGCCTATAATATCGCTTATAGACCTTTACTCAAGATACGATCAATTCCCAGTCTACCCGCCGGATAGGCCGGTGACGGCTATGCACACGCCGCGAGGATTAGTCCACATGAACGTGGCCCCACAAGGGWGGACCAACGCAGTAGCAATGGTCCAACGGGCCATGATTCGGGCCATGCAGTCAGTCAGCCCCCATATCACACAGCCATACATTGACGATTTGRCAGTAAARGGGCCGRCGAYGAAAGAAAGCGACGAAGTCTCACCAGGGGTAAGGCGCTTTGTCTGGAAACACATCCAGGACCTCGAAAAGGTCCTGAGCCTGCTCGAAGAGCATAACCTCACGGCAAGCGGGGCTAAATCTAGACATTGCATGAGGGAAACGACTATCTTGGGGATAGTCTGCAATGAGAAGGGCCGAAGGCCGGATG